GTTTATAATCATAATAGTAAAAATACTACTGATTTAACTGAAAATTGTAATTCTAGGGAAAATAGGAACGTTTAAATAAAAAAAGAAATTCTCAATGATTATAATCAAAAAGCGGTAAATACTCTCTAAAACTAATAAATCAAGAAATAATACTGTAAAACGTTATAACTATACTGTGTATACTTATAAGAAGATACAAGTTAAATAGATAAAAATGGTTTTGGGGGGACAAGGGTTGGGAAAGAAGGCACAGGATTGCTTTTGAAAAAAAAGATATTTGGGGACCAGCAGTTAGCATAATGACTTTGTCGCTGGACTCCCATGTAGTCGACTGCGGTTCGCATCCCGGACCCAGTGGCTTGAAACTCACGCCGGGCACGTGTGCGTGAGTGCCCAAGATCCTGAGAGGAGAATGGAGGAGAAGGGACTGAGGCGTGGCCATCTCCCCTGAGGGGTGATTTCTCACTTTCTATCTCTCTGTCTCTCTCTGTCTGTCTGGCGAGCGCACGCGCCCTGTAGCAAAAACATCTCCAAAAAAGAAAATAAAGATATTTTAGTAATATTTTATTATTTAATTATACTTAGAAAATACTTCAATATGACAAAATTTCAAGTAATATCAAAGGAATAATTAGATATATATATATGTTTGGTTTTGTTTGTTTTTTTTTTAAGATATTTTTGCTATAGCGTATGTGCTCTTGCCAGAAAGACAGAAAGGAAGAAATCGCCCCCCAGGAGGGATGGCCACACCAAATCCCTTCTCCTCCATTCTACTCTTGGGGTTTGGGGCACACACACGTGCCTGACATAAGTTTTAAACCACTGTGTCCGGGATGCGATATATGTTTCATATATATAAATTAAAACCATTATTGGGCATGTACTATGTCTAAAGCATTGTGGTTTTTGGTAAAGGAGGACTTAAATTACATAATCTCTTGGCTGCCTCCCACCTCCAAAATTCTTTGCTTTTAATCTTTCTATTCTTTTATTTTTTGGGAGGGGGGAGGGTGAGGTTTTTGCTATAGTGTGTCAAACCATTGTGACATAGCCATTACATCAATTGCTGGTTCCTATCTTTCTATTCATTTTTAAAGACAGATGCAAAGAATGCTCTCTACATGTAATCACTATAAAAAATATGAAAAAAGGACAATTTTATTGCCTCTCTATGTTAACATGATCCCAGAAAACATACTTTGTATATTTAGGTAGACAGATTTTTGAGAAGTCAGTCACCTACCCATTATGGCTATATAATTTTGGTTAGATCCATTGGTAATCTTTTGCTGTGTAAGTAATTACCACACAAATGTAGTGGCTTAAAACAGCAATAAACATTTATTAGCTCTCATGGTCTCTATGTATCAGGAATTTAGGAGCAGGTTAACTGGTTCAAAGTCTTTTAAGAGGTTATACTCTAGGTGTCACTTGGGGCTACAGTCTGCTGAAGGCTTAACCAGGACTGAAGGATTTTTTTCCACGGTAGCTTTGGAACCAGCAGATGGCATAATGGTTATGTGGCAGGACTCCCACATAGTTGACTTCAGTTGAGTCCTGGACCCAGTGACTTTAAACTCATGCCAGGCATGTGTACATGCATACCCAAAATCCAGAGAAGAGAATAGAGAAGAAGGGATTGTGGCCTGGCCATCCTCCCAGGGGGGTGATTTCTCGCTTTCTATATCTCTATCTCTCTCTGTCTCTCCAGCATGCTCACACACCCTGTAGCAAAAATCTCTCCAGGGTAGCTTTAACCCATGAATTGTATATGCTGGGTTTTAGCAGGAGGCCTCTGTTCCTCCCCAGTGAGCCCCTCCACAGAACTCTAGAATGTTCTCCCAACATGGTAGCTGGCTTCCCCCAAGAATGTATGATCTGAGAGAGAAATGGGAGAGGGAAGATGGAGACAGAGACAGAGATAAAGAGAGGGGAGAGAGAAAGAGAGAGAAAAACTGAGCACACACTATTTTCTATGAACTAGATTCAGAAGTCACATAGCATTACTTTGCCACATTTTATTTATTAGAAGCAAGTTGCTAAATCCGGGTAACATTTAAGGGAAGTGGAATTAGGCTCCATTTTTAAAGGGAGAAGTATCAAAGAATTTAAAGGCATGGTTCAAAACTTCCACATGCCACCCTCTGGCCACAAATTATTTATATTTCTCCTAAATTGCTAAAAATATCCTTACCCCTACTGAAACCACCCCAAAAGTTACATTCATATACAGCATTGCCTTAAAGTCTAAGATCTCATTGTTTAAATGGCTGGAGGTCCCCATGTACAAGTTTCTCTCAATCTGAAGAACAGTAAACTAAAGAAATAAGTTTCTTTGCACCACACACACTCAATATAAAATGGCAAGACAGATAAAGGGCATTTGCTAGAGCCCTTTCCATTCTGAAGGAGAGAAAACAAGAGGTTCAGAGGAGTCTCTAGAAAATCTGAAATCCATCTGGTACGTAGTTCTTTGATTAGAACTCAAAGCATTGGAATGATTCATCACGGCTCTTGGTTCTACTCTGAGTCATCTTTCCTGTTCCGTGAAAATTAGCCTGTGTTTGTGGCTAAGTAGTTTTTATAGACAGCATCATGATTGTACAAGTTTAGAAGCCTAAAGGCTTCTTTTAGTTCTGCTTCTTTCAGTCCAAGTTGGTGGTGTTTGTGCTAATACCTTTTTTTTTGTTTCACAGAAACTTTGTGGGTCTTCTACAAACTTTAAGTTTCATACCATTAGGCAAAAAACATTACCCATACAGAAATCTCAAAAAAGCTCTTTTCTACCTTGGGTTTCTGCTTAGGCTGCTAAGAACAACACCCTTAAGC